CTCTCTCTTTCTCTCTCTCTTTCTCTCTCTCTTTCTCTCTCTCTTTCTCTCTCTCTTTCTCTCTTTCGCTCTTTCTCTCTCTCTTTCTCTCTCTCACTCTCATTTCTCTTTCTTTTGCTCACTCTCTCCTCCCTTCTAATTCTTTCTTGTTTTTCTCTTTATTTTTTCATTCTCTTCCCTTTGCCCTCTTTCTCCTCTTATTTACTTTTTCACCTTTTCTGCCTTTTCACTCCTTATTTTTCCTCTTTCTTTACCTTTCCTTTCTATTTGACCTTACTTCTCCTCTTTCGTTTTCTCTTGTCTTTTTCCACTGTTTCTATTCAAACTTTATATTTTTATTTATTTCATTTCTCCCTTCTTATCTCTTTACCAACTTTTTCTTCTCGTTCTTTCTTCACTTTATTTTCTCTTTCTATCTTCTCACATTACATTTTTTACATCTTCGATTTTCTGTTTATTTCTGTTTTTTCCCTTTTTCTGTTATTTATTTGCTCTTATCTTTCTATTGGTCTCAATATCTATTTTTTTCGTTTCTTCTTCCTTCCTTTATTCAATTCTTCTATTTGTTATCGTTTCAATATTTTATTATATTTTCTCCTTTTTTCCTTGTTTCATATTTGTTAAGCTCCTTTTGTTCACTGAAATAGTATTTTAAATTTCGCTGTCAATTCTTGTATTTTACCCCTTCAACTTTTCTAATTCACTCTTGTGTTGGGTCCGGTATCATTATATTACTCTCTTTACTTTTAATATCTTACCTTTTCTTTTTACTCATTCTTTAGTATTAGTATGTTTATTCAATTGCCGCAGACATTACATATCATTTAAAGAGATGTTGAAGTGTATGAAAAAGCATATAATTCGCATGTTATGGTGTAAGTTGTTCTTGTGCTGCAGTTTAAAAACTCTGAAGATTTCAGGGGACGAGTTTAGAAAGGGCTCACGTAAAAAATACTTTCACAGTCCAAAGCGCATTCAATTAGTACAAGGTGCTTTGCACAAACTCTTGCTTTGGTCTCTCTCTTCAGAGTTGACTTTCAAAGTCTGGACTTTAAAGTACCAAAACTAATCTGCTCAATGCTTCTAAAAGCTGTACATATATTCAATTTTATGTACATTTCGCAATCAGAGTTATCAACTCTACCTTTCTACAGAGCTGTCCGCCTGTTGTGTTGGGCAGGTTTCCCTGAACAAAATAGCAACCCAACCCGAACACCTAATCCGTATATCTAACGGTCGCTAGAATGTATGTCAATGCTCTCAGTTTCTTAAAAGCGCCGAAAATCTGCTCTGTGGAATCGGTGTCGCCCCATACGGACGTGAAGCAAAATGTCCCATACATGAAAACTATGATGCGTCTTGTATGCGTCTGCATCGAAGTCGTAAATGAATCGTCTCTAAAGTGCTTTAAAAACTCGCACCTTTGATTAAGAATACCTAACATCCGTTCATCTTAACTTCTCTGTGTACATAACAACTGTGTCGTCTTCAGCGTTCAAAACAAAAAGTCTCTTTAGAGTTTAATACCCCTTCCAAATCAAAGTATCTGTTCTAAAGTTATGAAATTTCATTGCGCAGGGTCACTTCTTAGATTATCTATTCAATTTGTAATATTGTATCAATTTGAGATCAGAGATCTTCGTGCATGTGGCATAAAGATCTCATTTTTTTCTGTTGAGAAAACTTTGTTCATTAGAAGACATTAACAATCTGATCGAAAGTGACCTGCCTCTACTCCATCTCGCAGGTATTGTCAGGTCAACTTGCCTTGCAGGAGTAACTGGCTTCCTTCATTTCTTGTCTCACAGTGTCCCTGGTTCACTTCATCTGTTCTAAAGAGACATTCACCTTATACGTCTCGCTGGAGTCCCCTCATATGTGGTTATTTGTTATGTACCTCCTGCCTCGACCGTTTCAGTCTGACCTAACTCGTTAGCTCCAGAGAGTAGTACGTTTGTTATCTCGCGGGTGTCGTAGGCTGAATTAAATAGAATGGCATTACGCGCTTTTTCGTTGCAGATATCGCTTACCCATTTCATTTGATCGAAAGAAGCACGAATATGGTCTGACTCAAAGGTGTCGGAAGCTCTCTGCTCTGCTGTAAAGAGCCACGTATTTGCTGTCTCGCAGTTCCATCATCTACCCTAAAACCGTGCATCTCCGCGGACACGCTGGTGTCGCAGACACTGGCAAAATAGAAAGATATAGTCTCCTACTCAGAGCCTCGCGTATACTCTTAGCTTTCAAATATCGCTGGCTCCCTTCATCTGCTCTTAAGAGCGTGCATCTGCTCTATATCACAGGTGACAGCTGCCCCGTTTCACTTTCTTTAAACCGCTGTGTATCTTCTCTGCCTCCCTTCACCTCCTCTAAACAGCTGGGCATCTTCGCGGACAGCGGCCTTCTTCATCTGCTCTAACGAGCGTGCATGTGTTTTAACGAGCGTGCATCTGCACTAAAGAGTGCACGTCTGCTCTAACGAGCGTTCATCTGCCATAAAGAGCGCACATCTGCTTTAAAGGTCGTGCATCTGCTCTAACGCGCGTGCATCTTCTATATCGAGCGTGCATCTGCTCTAACAAGCGCGCGTCTGCTCTAACGAGCACGCATTTGCTTTAAAGATCGTGCATCTGCTCTAAAGGGAGTGCATCTGCTCTAAAGAACACACGCATCTCCTCTAACGAGCATGAATCTGCTCTAAAGATCATTCGTCTCCTCTCACGAGCGTGCATCGGCTCTAACGAGCGCGCGCATCTGCTCTAAAGAACGTGCATCTTCTCTAACGAGCGTACATCTACTCTAACGAGCGTGCATCTGCTTCCACGAGCGTGCATCTGCTCTAACGAGCGTGCATCTGCTCTAAAGAGCGCGCGCATCTGCTGTAACGAGCGTTCGTCTGCTCTAACGAGCATGAATCTGCTCTAAAGATCATTCGTCTGCTCTAACGAGCGTGCATCTGCTTTAACGAGCGTGCATCTGCTCCCACGAGCGTGCATCTGCTCCCACGAGCGTGCATCTGCTCCCACGAGCGCTCATGTGCTCTAACGAGCGCGCATCTTCTCTAAAGAGCGTGCGCATCTGCTCTAAGGATCGTGCATCTGCTCTAACGTGCGCGCATCTGCTCTAACGAGCGCGCGCATCTGCTCTAACGAGCGCGCGCATCTGCTCTCATGAGCGCGCGCATCCGCTCTAACGAGCGCGCGCATGCGCTCTAACGACCTTGCCTCCGCTCCTCGCCGCAGGTGTCGCTGACGCGCAACAAGATCCACTCGCTGGCGCCGCGCGCGCTGGCGCGCCTGCCGCAGCTGGAGCAGCTGAACCTGGACGAGAACCGGCTGGCGGAGCTGCGCCGCGACAGCCTGCAGCTGCCGCAGCTGCGACGCCTCTACATGGCGCGCAACAACCTGTCGCTGCTGCAGGAGCGCGCCCTGTCGCAGCTGCCGCGCCTGGAGGAGCTCGAACTCAACCATAATCAGATCAGCGTCGTCACGCGGGAGACGTTTGCTGGTGAGTCACGCGCTCTTAAACATAAAACGATTTTGTTGGGGTTTCCGCCATTTTTCTCTTTTGATACCAGGTGTTCTTGAATAAATGTTACAAACTTCTAGGTTATTTAGAAGAGTATAACGACCAATTCTTGCCAAAAACATGAGGCGTGTTATTTCTTATAATAAAGTTATACAAGTGACATTTATTCTTGATTTGTTAGCTACTCATTTTGCACTGGTGTTTGGGAGATGAACTTTTGACGCAGTAAATGAGACTTCTATTTTTTTCTTTCGATACAAGGTGTTTTTGAATAAATGTTACAAACTTCTAGGTTATATAAAAGAGTCTAACACGACCAATTCTTGCCAAATAACATGAGCGTGTGAATTCTGATAATGATATTATACGTGTGACATTTCTTCTTGACTTTTAAGCAACTCATTTTGAACTTGTGTTTGGAAGATGAACTTCTGACGGAATAAATGAGATTTCTGCTATTTTTCTCTTTCGATACAAGATGTTTTTGAATAAATGTTATAAACTTCTAGATCATGTAGAAGAGTCTAACACAGCCAATTTGTGTCAAAGAACATGAGGCGTAAAATATCTTATAACGAAAGTATACATGTGACATTTCTTCTTGATTGGTAGGCTACTCATTTTGCACTGGCGTTTGGGAGGGGAACTTCTGATGCAGTAAATGATATTTGATTATAGCTGCCGAATATCAGTGCATGACGAGTTGCATAATGTGCCGGGGCAAATGCCAAATGGGCAACTTCATTATAAGGGATTTTCCACCTAGTGTTTATGGACAAAATGTGATCATTATTGACTCATCCGCAACTCAATGGATGTTTGTAACATTATTTTGAGGCATCCTGTGCTTATTTTCATTAAAAAATGTGTTCTTTAAACCTGCAATTATTGCGCGTGGAATTCCAGTTAGCACGAATTAATTTCTGTCTTTTCTTTTAGTATATAAAAATATTTAATTACACTTTAAAAAGGAGTTTCAATCTCGTAATTGTAGTGTATGTTAAATATCGAAGATATTATTGTAAATGTGGTTGTGGTTGTGATGGTGGTGAAGATGGAAGGGTTCCGTTTGATGGTAAGGGATGGTGATATAGCTGGAGGTGAAGGCGTTGGTGCTTCATAATGCTCGTTATAATCCTGCAATTGTAGTGTTTGTTTAAACCCGAATGTATTATGTTGGAGGTGTTGGTGGTTCTGGTGGTGGGTGGTGGTTGTGGTGTGGGATGATGGCTGTGCTGGAGGTGAAGGTGGTGGTGGTGGTGGGGAGGGTGATTCTGGAAAAAGATATGATGGTGTAGTTAGATGGTGGTGGTGATAGTGTAGGTAGTGGAGGAAGATGCTGTGGTGGTGGTAGTGGTGATGGTAAAAATGATGTGGAAATGGTATGGTAGTGGTGGAGATGGTGAAGGGCATGGACGTGGTAGAGGTGTTGGAGAAGGTAGTGGCGATGATGCTGATAGGGGAGGTAGTGGAAGGATGGTGAAAGTGATGGAGGGAGTGACGATGATGGAAAGGAAGTGGATATGGAGGTAGCGAATAGGTTTGGAGGTGGTGGTGGGCGTCGTGGAAAAAGGTAGTGGGGGAAGTAATGGTCTTGGTGGTAGTGGAGGACGATGGGGATGTAGGAGGGGATGATGGTGAAGAGATGGTAGAAATGGAGGGAGCAATGGTAGAGATGGTGCAAGTGTTGAAGAGGGTACTGGTAGTGATGCTGGCGGTCGAGGTGGGCGGTGGAGGGAGTGGTGTTAGTGGTGGTGGAGATGGTGAATCAAGTAGGAGAGGGAATATGCTGGCGGTCGAGGAGAGTGGTGTTAGTGGTGGTGGAGATGGTGAAGGGAATGTAGGAGATGGTACACGCTGACGTGGTCGAGGCGGGCGATGGAGGGGAGTGGTGGTAGTGGTGGTGGAGATGGTGAAGGGGCTGCAGGAGATGGCACACGCCGACGTGGTCGAGGTGGGCGGTGGCGGAGGCAGCGGGTGGGTGCGGCGGAGGCGGAGAAGGCTGACGCCGAGCGTGCGGTGCGTGGCGCAGGGCTGAAGGCGCTGAAGCGGCTGGACTTGGAGATGAACCGGCTGACGGTGCTGGGCGAGCGCGCCTTCGCCGAGCTACCGGCGCTCGAGGAGCTGGTTCTGGACGAGAACGAGCTGCAGCTGGTCGACCCGCGCGCGCTCTGGGGGCTGCAGCGCCTGCGGAGGCTCTCGCTCGCAGGTAACTCGCTGCCTCTCCTTCTTTGGTACTCCTTCCTCTCTTTGTTTCTCTTGCATAGCTTTTCATAGCTTTGTTTGTGTTTTATCTTTCTTCCTCTCCTTCTTTAGTATTTCTGTTTTACCTTTCTTCCTCTCTTTATTTCTCTTTCATGTTTTTTCTTAACTTTTTTGGGTTTATCTCTCTTCCTCTCTTTCTACAGTATTTCTGTTTTACCTTTCTTCCTCTCTTCATTTATCTTTCATATTTTTCTTAACTTTATATTTGTTTTACCTCTCTTCTTCTCGTTCTTTAGTATTTCTGTTTTATCTTTCTACCTCTCTTTATTTCCCTTTCATATTTTTACCTCACTTCATTTATGTTTTACATCTCTTCCTCTTTTTCTCTATATTTCTTTGCTTTTTCACCCATACTACTTACGTAATATAAAGTTAGTATTGAAACGTTGCGGCAAATAAACGCGATTTATTGGCAGAAAACTGTTTTTCTGAAATTTTGAGACCAAAGAAATGGATAAATCGAGTTTCTGTGCGTGCATTACTTTTACGATCACGTTGTGTAGTCAGAACCCACAATTTGTGGATCCACGCGAAAATTTTATTTACGACAAAATGCGTGTCCATCAGTGATCAACGATAGCATCGAAACTGTTCACACGTTTTTCTCCAACATTTAATTTCCTCGTTTCATCTGGTCGAAATCAATACTCTGCTAATTTCAAACCTTTTATTTTTGGGAGTATTTTACTTGATATTTTAACAAAATCATTTGCAAAAGTCGGCTGCAAAATTATCTGTTGAAGTCTCGATTTTTTTCTGATTTTTTCCCTCTAATAGAGCAAAACACTCTGAAGGTGAAAGCTACGTATTAGTCGAACTATTCAAACTTTTGAAAATCACAAAACCTACGAATAATACGAAAAAAATGGGTGCAATGTAACTATACTAGTTCTTCTTTCTCCCCTCTTTGTTTCCCTTTCCTCCTTGATTAATTTTTTCAAATCTTTCGTTTTCTCTCCTTGTTTTTTTTATATTTTGCCCTGTTATTTTCTCGTTTTACTTCGTAAGAAGTAGTAAGATAATAATGTTGGGAGAAAAGATGACGATTCTTCGACAAAAAAACGTACCAACGACGGGCCTTAGTTACTTTTTTGTTGACTTGTAGGCTGTCCGGGTGACGCCGCGTCGTTGGCAGATAGGCCGACGTTTCGCCTGTCATGGCGCAGGCTTCTTCGTCACTACCCTGAAGAAGCCTGCGACATGACAGGCGAAACGTCGGCCTCTCTGCCAACAACGCGGCGTCACCCGGACAGCCTTCACCCGGAAGCCTACGTGTACTTTTTTTTGTTGTTGTTATTTCTGTCCGTCTCTTCATTTGCGGGAGCCTCATTCCTCTTCGCGTCTTGCAGGCAACCGCCTGCGCGCGCTGCCGCCCGACGTGCTGGTGCCCGCGCCGCGCCTGCGCGCCCTCGACCTGCGCGACAACGCCCTGGCGTCGCTGCCCGCCGCCGCCGCCCGCCCGCTCCTCCCGGCGCTGCGCGGCGCCCCGGCCGAGGGCGACGGCGTCCAGCACGCGGCTCTGCACCTCGACGGTGAGTACTTCTCTCCCTCCCTCTCTCTCTCTTTCTCTTTATTTATTATATCTGGTTTGCGTTTTCTTTGTCGTTGGTCACGCGTTCAGGTGGCTTATGGGTACCCAGCGTACTTAGAGAAGAAATTAGGACGTCATCAGTCGACTCGTAACTCAAACTCTGTCAACTAAGATATTAATAACTCGAAACTAGATAGTTCGAACTCACATAATACAAATATATCATAATGCGAATTTTCATAAGTAAAACCTCTCATAAGTCGAGTTCCCACAATTCGATCACGTTTAATTCGAACTTGTTTAATTCGAACTTGTTTAATTCGAACTCGTTTGATTCGAACTCGTTTAATTCGAACTCGTTTGATTCGAACTCGTTTGATTCGAAGGTCGAATCAAACGAGTCGAATCAGAACGAGTTCAATCAACGAAGTTCGAATTCAAACGAGTTCGGAATCAAACGAGTTCGAATAAACGAGTCAATTCAAACGAGGTTCAAATCAAAAGAGTTCGAATCAAAAGAGTTCAAGATCCAAAAGAGTTTTCGAATCAAACGAGTTTCGAATCAAACGAGGTTCGAATCAAACGAGTTCGAATCAAACGAGTTCGAATCAAAGAGTTCGAATCAAACGAGTTCGAATCAAACGAGTTCGAAACAAACGAGTTCGAATCAACGACGTTCGAATCAAACGGATTCGAATTCAAACGAGTTCGAATCAAACGAGGTTCGAATCAAACGAGTTCAATCAAACGAGTGTGCGATCAAAACAGTTCAAATCAAAAGAG